TCATTTTTCTTGGTATTTTATTGTGAGAATTTTTTGAAGCCTAGTTTTCAGCTTTCAACTTCATTCTGAAAATGATTGATACTTATTTTTTTTTTTCCAGGTATTTTAGGGCAGTACTAACTTGGGATTCCCTGTTCTAAATTTTAGCCATTTTTGTGGAGGAGAGGGAGGTGATGCATTTCAGGTAAAAATGAATTGAGGCCCCAAATCCATGTAAGTTAAGTCTTGTCATTAGAAATTCCTAGATAATAATTTCTTGTCCTTTCCACCCAAAGCCAAGGCTTATATAGCATATGGTCTCACAGCCAAGCTCCGTCACTCTCATAGAAGTTTTTAAATCCTGATTTATGCTTTGAGGTTATTGTCCTCCCAGGTTTTATGAGAGATGTTCTTAGATCTTATACATCATTCAAACTAATAAATAAAGAAAAAAGGATACATAATGGAATACTATTCATCCATAAAAAGGAATGAAATCCTGTCATTTGTGACAACATGGATTGAATTGGAGATCACCAAGTTAACCAGAATAAAGCAAAGACACATATCATATGATCTCATTTATATATAGAATCTAAAAAACAAAATAAAACAAAACAGAAACAAAAAATGGATCTTCTAGAAATAGTAGTATGGGTAGTTGGGGAGACTAGGGAGGTGGGAAGGATTGGTAGAGGTTGATCAGCAGGAAACAAGTCATAATTAGAGGTTCTGGTGAGTTATTGCATAGTTGGGTGAGTATAGATAAGGATAATATACTGTATATTTTAAAAAGTTAGAATGTTTTCAACATAAAGAAATGATAAATGTTTGAGGGGATTGATATGTTTGCCTTGATTTGAACATAGTATATTACATAGTGTATACATATATTGAAATATCACATGGTACCCCATAAATATGTGATTTTTGTTTTTATGCATCAGTAAAAAAAATCTTAATTTAAATTTTAAAAATTTAAAAAGAGATAAAAAAACAAAACAAAAAACCCAGATTCTAGGCCTTCAGGAATTGCCATATAATCCCCAAGGCAAAGAAAGGCGCTGGAACTCATGAAAACAGTAAATTCAGCATTTGATTATTTGGGGATAGAATGGAATTCTGTTACTTTCCCATCAGCTTGACCACACATTAAAAATATCTTTTATTTCGATTTTTTTTTTTAGAATTTATTTTTGTATTGTGCTATGATTTGTTGGTATATCCTGGAAGTAGCTATCTCCTTATCCTTTATAAATCCTTAAGTCCTTCATAGGGTTCTTCTGTTGGGATCAGTTTTCCTTCATCCTCTGTTCAGCCTTTGTATTGCCTATGCTTAAAAACCTAGTTTTGATTTTTCATGGAGTTTAAAGAAATGAAAAACTGATGTTTTGCTGAGTCATCATGTGCAGTCTCCCTTAGTCTGAATGGCCATGGATGTTACAGAATGACCAACGTTATCTTTGGACACCTTCTTCTCCGTAAAAAAACATGCAAGGAAACATCGTACTTGAGACCACTTCCAAAGTGGGGGCTGATTTGACTCTGTGAGCAGATTTGGGGGAATATATGTTTTTCCCATGAATATCACAACTTCCTAGGGTTGCTTATATGGTTTAAAAACCCTTCTGTGGTTTATGTGCATTTTGGGACACTCAGATTCAAGAATGCAAAGAGATTGACTTATGAAAAATCCCAGAAAGATGTGTTTGATGCCTTCTGTTTCTCCATGTGTACAAATGATTGACATTTTTTTTTTTCTGTTTATGCCATTTTCCACACTAGAAGCAGTAGTGGTAAAAGGAATGCAGCTCACTGCTGTTTCATAGAAGGTGCTAGTGACATGACTGACTTCCACAGGCAAACACGAGCATTAATAGTCCAGCCTGGCAGAAAAATCTTTTCAGTTTATTTCACATGTTTTAATGTATAATTTTAATTTTATATGCATGTGCTAGTCATTATTTTCTTTTCACAGTTACCTAGTTTTACAGAAACCTTTCATTTTACCTTGAACCATATATTTATGTAGGCTTCTGGTATGGTTACAAGACAGCTTAAAAATTTGAAAATTCCTTGCTACTTAGAAAATGCCCCTGGCCACATTTGGGGGTAAAAGTGTTGAGGAATAATATGCCAATTATAGATTATCTTTTTATAACAAACATACTCCAAAATTTCACACTTGTAATCAAATAAAAATACTTCTAGCATCAATATGCAGGATGGAAGACTACAGATCTATGGTTAATCAGTACAAGGATTTAATTATTAAGACTAAGAGGGAATTGTCACAAAGTTAAAAAAAATCTAGATAAGATTTTGAAACAGGATGGGAATTGATGGATTAGACAGCTGTTTTTCTAAAAAAGAAGCCTGAGGTGTAGTAATATTGTATGAATTGTCAGAAGTAAGTTTGGTACTGGTTTATTCTGGGATTTGGGGAAGTATGTGGGAGAAAGAGTCTGAAAACTGATTTAGGTGAAATCCATTCAGGTTGTTAAAAGTTTTGAAAATGTTGCTAAAGTGTTCAGGATACATCTGAGATGAATTGCCCTGGAGAGAATAGGAACTTGAAGAGAAGTCGCAAGCAGGTATGAGAGAGGAGAGAAAGATTTTAAGAGAGAATGGAGTTGAAATATCAAGGTGGAATGGACTTGAGACTTGGATCTATTAGTATGTATAAGGCTAAGACTGACCCCTTAAAACAAAAACTGAAATTGACTTTTCAAAACAGACCAAAACCAAACGACCAACAAACAACAGCTTCTAGTTATGTTAAGTAGGAAGAAATATGCAGAGATGGAGAATGTGAAAGTATGACATCATCAAAAAAAATGAAGACATCAAAAAGAACATCTTAAGGAAATCCTCAACAATGTTTGTCAGACTGTTTTACTAACAGCCTTCACATTTGACATTCTTCATTATGGAGAACTTGCTAATTTAGTTAGTTTGGCCAAGAAGGAAGTTGTTGGGAAAAAAAAAAAGAAAACAAAGATGGGAACTATAAATAGTAGTATCACAAAAGGACAATGTTCCCCAAGCCAAACACATGACTTTATGTGAAAGTATGGGATATAAATGTTAAAAATTAATTTCTGTAAGTCCTTATTATTTTTGTGGTCATAAAATATGTCATGGCACATCTTGAAGGGCAATAGTTAAAAAAAGTTCCTGTATCATCCTTTATTATCACCTGTGTGTTGCACATAAATTTTAAGAAGTTCAGTAGTATTCTTGAGGGTGATTGTTCTCTTTGAAAAAGAACATATGATCATATGATCAGGGAATTCTAAATGTAACAAGTATTGAGATAATGCAAACCAATTTCAAGGTTCCTGTGTTCTAATATAAATGTGGGAGAAAGTTTAATCTTTGCTCTAAAGAAATTAATGTCATGAAAGGAAGTTAACATATACAATTAACGCGGGGTCTGAGAGATCACTATAAGAAAGAATGAAGCTTAGCTCTATGAGATATTTATGATTTTAAAAAATATTTTTTAAAAAATAATCAGTGTTAATACTGAATATTTTGTAGTATAAACACAACTTTTTTTCACATTCCATCTTTACACTGACCTTTTTATTTTCTAAGAATTTATAAAAGGAATGCTTTTGGCTTTAGTCAAATATACATTTGAAACTTACAGTGCAGAACTAGAATAAGCATTGTCCTTGTGATATTGTGTGCATGCCATATTATCAAAAACCAAGAAACTTTCTGTCACTTATTTCTTATAGAGTTTGAGGGAGATAACTCAGCAACAACCTCAACCCCCTTTTTGCTGATTTATCAAGATTACTTTAAATTTTTCTTCCCTATTTTTTCAAGTTACTGCATGTAAAATAATTGTCATAGACCATTATAAAGTAGATATACAATCCATTAATGACTTTATGTATCAATGTTACCTTTGGATCCTACCAAATGCCCAGAGAGAGAATGGCTCACTTATTATGAGGTCTGAATTGTCTTCCTGAATTGTTCCTTCTATCATTGATAAGTATTGAACAATTATGTAAGAAAGATCCATATTTAACATTGTTGTGTAATTGTGATTGATGCTGTTGAAGTTAGTACGTGGTACCAGTCTTTTAAATGACATATGGAAAAAAATTTCACTAAAAATAAGGTGGCTTTTCTTACTGACATTGTGAATGCTAGACTACTGTTTTTTTTCCCCTCATTACTTTATATATTAGTCTTTCAGTGCTGTCTTAACCAAATACCACAGGTTCAGTGACTTAACCAACAGAAATTAATTTTCTTACAATTCTGGAGTCTGGAGGTCCAAGATGGAGGTGCCAGTAGGGTTGGTTTCTTGAGGCCTATCTCTCTCTATATAGCTTGGAGATGGTGACCCTTTTTGTGTGTCTTCGCATGTCTTAATCTGTGGTGTCTCTTTCTCTTATAAGGACATTAAACTTACTGGTTTAGGGCCCCACACTTTTGACCTCATTAAGTTTACTGTGTTAAAGACCTTTTCTACAAATATAGGCACATTGAGGGAATTAAGGCTTTGATACATGGATTTGGGATGAAGGCAGTTCCATTTATAACAGTTTGGTAGCTAGGAATTTGAGAACCAAATCTGTCTGACACATAAAGTAATATCAGAAAATATTTGTCATTACTTTTCTATCTATATTTCCCCTATACCTGATTTTTTTAGTTTCTTTTTTCATAAATACTCTATTTTTTGTAAACTGTTAAGTCTTTTTTTTTTTTAAGACAGAGGACAAATAAGTAAATAAATAAATTATCATCTGTAATAGATTTTTAAGATATTTGCTTACTGAAACAGTAGAAATTGTATTTCTGGGTGCCAGAGATGCTGGGGGAACATTTAGCAATCATACTCCTCTTGGCATACTTACAAATTTATATGTTTTGGTTTATTTTATAATAGAGTCTTTCTCCCTTTTGTAATATAACAGAACTTCAGTGGACTTAAAATTTTACAGGCAGTGAAGTAGTTTTTCTTCTTATATCCACTCTTCTTTCCCTTATTCTAGAAAACTTCTGTGAAAATAGAGCAAAAACCTATCATTCCAGAACCAAAGCCAGGACCCAGGTAAATCTTTTATACGACAGCAAAAAGAGCGTAAGTGAAGGGGCTTATTTCTAACATTGTCAATGTACTTGCTGACTTTAGTGTCTAGGTTTGAAGAGGTTTAGGTGGTTAAGAGCCCAAGTTCTGATAGATGTTTTTCATTTTTGCCATTTTATTCAACTTAAGCAAAGAGAATAATACTTTTCTTCCAAGTATTTTGGTAATCAGGCAGGAGACCCAGCCTGATGGTATCTGGGTTGATGCAATGTGAATATTATTGCCCATGTTTAATCTGATTTTTGTTTATTAGAAGTTATATGCCATAGTTCATTATTAGAAGTTATTTGCCATCTTTCAGTGATTCTTCTAGGGTATTCTTAGGTTGTTTGTGCTTTATATACCAAATTTATTGATAAATTTGTGAAAATCTACTGATTTTAGATTGGACGGTGAGATGGAAAGAAGGGATTACGAGAAGTTAATAGTGATGGATATTTCTGAAAAGGGCAGGATTCACACTTGTGTTTTTTATTCACTGGGAATATATTTATTTATTACTTATACATGATTATAAGTTGGAAAATGTAAGGCATACTTGAAAGCACTTGGGAATGGCGACATATAGATGCTGGAGAAAAGTTGTTTGATTCTTGAAAGAAAGGATATACAATGGATGAGATGTATAAAGTGGGTAGATATTAAGCAGAATCCCTCAGCATTATTGGTAGGAAGTATCAGAAGACTGAATTTAGGATTTCCAAAATGATTGAAAATTGGTTAGGGAATCTCACAAAGGAGAAAGCCACAGAGGGAGGGGACCTCTTCTCAAATTCTTGGCTGGCTCCTGACCTGTGCATGCAAAAGAGGCTGTTAAAAAAAAAAAATCCAGCCTAAAGCTGCAACTTGTGTAGTTTTCAATTGGTTTGGTTGGTTATATCAAAAGAAAAAGATATCCTGGATGTTTTAATTATCAGCCTAGGACTTTAATGTAGCATTTCTATATATTTATTTATATTTATTAATTTATTGATTGATTAATAAGATGGGATCTTGCTGAATAAGATGGGAATTGCCCAGACTGGCTTTGAACTGACAGTGCTCCTGCTTTAGCCTCCTGAATAGCTGGAATTATAGGCAAGTGCCATTGTTCCTGGCTTAGCAGCTTCTTTAAATGTTTAGAATTTAAGAAGACATTCATGGTAACAGGAAAGCTCTAGTGCAGAAACAGAAGCTATTAATAAAAGAATCAAATTAAAAGTCTATGTATAGAAAATTTGGACAAACAATTAATTTGACCTAATTGACATTTATAGAAACTATATCCAACAACTGTGGAATATACATGTTTTTCAAGGGCATGTGTAACATGAGTTACAAAGAACAGAAAGCCATGGAATAGAAAATGGAGAAACAATACAATTAATAAAATAAAAATAGTTCTTTGGAAAAATAATAAACTTTGTAAACTCATAGCACAACTGACTTTAAAAAAAGAGTGAAAATGTGATTACCAATTTTTGCATGAAAGAGAAATCATCACTGTGTATCTATAGATATCAGAAGGAAAATATCACAGGATGTGAAAATTTTCTTGCCAATTACATTCAACTAAGAGGTGTTTTTTTAAAAAAGACAAAATAGCAAAGCTGACATAAGAAGAAGTAGAGAATCTAAATAACCCATTTTGGGGACATTGGATGTTATCAAGAGCCTTTTCACAAATAGATGTGGTTTAAAGAAAACAACTTTTAATAATGTAAATTATTTCTAAAATATTGAATGGTGTTAAAAGGAACTTATCCACTTCTTTAAGTCTTTTGCCTACAAATATTCTTTTTGGTTAGTTTGATTGGGACAGTTTTTTTCCTTATTGGTGTTACTAACTTAAAATTAGTACAGCCCTATCAATGTTACATAATTGTGCAACCTCAAAGATGAGAATTTATTGTACTGTCGTTATTTGCCTAAACTCAGTCAGCTAATCTGAATTGTTAACATTTTTCCATATAGTCTACCATCTGTCATTGCAGGCATAAAGAGCTGTGGCCAAGTTTTGCAGGGATCTCTAGCTGCTTTTTCTTGGGATATCTAAAATATTTTAGAGGATGAGGATTGAAGAGAATTTTAGAGATAACTTGATCCCATTGATCTGTTTCCTTATTGAAAACAGTAAGATTCAAAAAGATAAAATGACTTCTTCAAGGTCACAAAGTAAAAGAACAGAATTGTTCTTGAATTCAACCCTCCACTCATAGTACAGTGAAATTCTTAGTTGTGCAGTTTTTATACCACTTGTATCTTAAATTTCAACAGGCTTTCTGATGATTATTTGCAAGATGTAAACTGAAAATTTACTTAGAATAGAATCATGGAAAAAGGAGAGAAAGAAAAAAACCAAATGTGAAAATAAAACAGAGTAGTGAACAAAATAGAACTGTGTGTGTTTGGAGATACACATACACACACACACATACACACACACACATATCAGTAAAAGACACAAGCATATATTTAATATATACACATACACATGGGCATACTTTGTTGAAAATATTTAAGTGAATCATTATTATGATTCTCTTCTTTATTTGAAGTACTATACCATTTCTTTCCTAAAAATTCCATGAAACCTTAGAATCCACATCTTGGGACCCCCCATAACTTGGCCTGGAGGATTTTTCTTGTTGGAGAGGAATTTTCCATGTATTTTCAGCTAGAGGTCTCCTTAGTGCCTGTGTGAGGCAGAGTATATCATAACCTTCCATCAGTCATCCGTCAACTTCAATAAAGTGTTGGGCAGTTTCTAAAGTACTTTTTGCATTTCACGGGTAAAAATATGTCACACATACATTACTATTGCTGGGTTACAGTAAATACCAGAGAGTCTGTTTTCCCCTTTTCTTCTCAGTTATAGAAATAAAAGGATGATGGAATTAATTTACACATACCCACCAGCTTTGCGGGAACCCTCAGCGGTTGGCAAATAGGGCTGGTTTATTCACCCACTCAGCAGTGTTTTTTTAAGGAGGCAGTCACTTGACTGTTAAAAGGTGAGAGTAGGAAATTAGGCAGACTTCAAGTGCGGCTGCTGCAAGGGTTTTGAATTTCCGCCACTGTGAGCACCCGCTCCTATTCACAGTAGGGAATGGAATCTTTTGCCTTGTATGGTGATGAGTCAAAGTCCTGATTATTTCTGTCCTCATCTTCAGTCATCTCAAACCTGAAAGGAAAATGTTCACATTTATTTTGCTGATCATCTTCCTGCTTCTTCAATGAAAATATTCATTTTAGTATTCAGAAAGGGAAGAAAAGAAAGTGCTATACTGCCTACGTACATTTGTTTATATACAAGACTTTTCATTAACAGCATTATTAAACAAAGAACTATAATGCTAGAATCCCACATATTGGAGATTAATGAGCTAGGTTGTAAAACCCACACAATGTATATTTGATTTTGTTCTGAAATATATACTTGTATATTTTTATAAGACAAAGATGATCATTTTGCCTTGAGTTTATGATTCTGCTATATAAATATTCATTATGTACACAAACATGCACAACATTTATAGAAAATAATTTTCATAGATGAGCATTTATAAAATGAAATTGTTTAATATCTGAGTGAAAGTCTTCATGTCCTTAATATTTCAATGTGAATGATGAATTTTGAAATCCTTTGAACTTCATAAGATTGTTGGAACTCAGAAGATTGTTGGAAATCCATAAGATTAAAATATGATTGAGAAAGCCCTCAGCTACTTTTAAGGAAAAGGAAGTTTATGTTAAACTTATCAAAGAAAGCTAGTCAGTCTCAGTTCAACCAGAATTGCCAAAGGAACATTTTTCTGACTTTTATTTTTGTAGTAAAATACTCAAAGCAAAATATCTGAAAGAATTGGAGTCAAATGATGCCATTCTTCCATTTTAGTTTTTTTAAGATTATAGTATAAACCTTGATTTATAGGTTATAGTATACGCCTTAATTTAGGTAAAGATTCCTCTGATTTCTTCCTTTCCTCTTTAATCTCTTTATTCACTTCTTTATACGTATTCCACATTTTCTTATTTTCATATGATATCTTTAGTGTAAAGCAGTAAAAGAAGTCTATATGATTACATAAGGAGAACTAGAGTTCATTATCAATATTTAAGCAAAAACTGAATCAAGAGCTACATGGATTATGATTTAGTTTACCATTGAAATGATATTCATCTTTTATTTTGTATGAGATTTACTTTATATATAAACAATCTTCCATTTTGATTTGTTGAGAACCTCTAACTGTATTACAAAAGTCTTCATTTCTCTTCAGGTAAACTATTGCATTTCATGAATGTAATACTATTTATTTTGACATCCTTTTGCAATGAGCTGTTAATCCTTTGCAGATTAATGTTATCAGTGATCATTTTCCCTTTTGTTCAACTTCCAAACCATCTTTAAAATGCCTGATTTTCAAGTATAGAATAGATCAATTGATGCACCCTTAAGTCATAGAAAAAAAAACTTACTGTGTTGATTTGTAGTATTAAGATCTGAGGCTGGTCATCAGCTTTTCACCTTTTTAGTATTTCATTTGCTTCAATTCTAGATAAAAAAGTGTCAGCATTTAAATAGACCATCTCTGAAGTAATGTGCACTATTTTGATATTGTTAAGTTCATACTTTTTAAAAATTTATAATTCCAAAAATTCATATAATTCATGTAAATATGTAGATGAGGAATAGTAATATATTTCCTCCCTTATATATGCTTATTACACTTTTGCTTATTTTCATGGTATCTTTAATGTAAAGTATCAAAAGAAGTCTATATGATTAGGTAATAGAAATCGTAGTTTAGACACTCATACATATGTACACATACTATTTGTAGGACCCCAGAAGTGAGGCTATTACATTTTGATTTATCTACTTGTCACATTTTCCTCTGATAATTAACACAATATCTTTCCAAGAACCCCTCCACCCACCATTGCAAACTATTTAAAATAGCATATTCTACCCCGCCTTA